CGCGGGGGGGGCATGCCGATCGAGAACCCCACCATGGGAAGTCCGACAAGTCGATCGATCGAGGACGCATGCGCGATCGTGAGAAGTGATCGGCGCGATTTGCAATGTACAGTAAAGCGCATTAATAATATCTGTTCTGGCGATCTTCCTTTCGCCTATTGGCTAACCTTTGCATTTAACAGAAGAGGAGATCTGTCTTGAATTGTATTCATTTGATGCAAATTTAAAAAAAAAAACAACAATAAATTTAATCTCCCACGTCAAACTAGTGCGGTGGAAGAAGGAAGGGAGGAAGAAGCGTCACGGACGACGCGTCGTTAAAACGTCGCGCCGTACGTGACGGCGCGTCGCGTCGCCGTCGCGACGAGGTGTGCGGTGAAGCGCGAGTTATCGTCAGGTGGGTGGCGATGGTAGGGGGCCAGGGCAAATGCGAGAGGGGGATACACCGTCTCTCACCTGTGCGCATTTCGTTGGCCTACTCTCGCCACGACGGCCGGATGCTACGCGACGATCGTCCGGCGGCGTGCACAGTCGTTTCGCTCGTCGAGCCGCTCGTCTTCGTTTTACTAGTGGCCTAGTGGTGATCTTGTGACGCGCGTTTGGTCGCGGTTGTTTTTCTCAAGATTCGAGAGATCCTCTCGGCAGTGATCGTCGCCGATCAGCGTTTCGCGATGACATTCACGTCGCGCGATTCATCCGACGCAAGTCCGTGTTGTCGCACAAAATACAAGAACTGTCATTCGCACGCTGCTGCATTTGCGCGCTCGCTGTGTTGCCTTTATTTTAACCGGCGCGGTTCCGCTTTGCGGTGCCTGAATAGTTAACGTGCCGACGCGAACGAGCTACAGTTAGCACGATGCTTCACTTTGTCGGCGTCATCGCGACCAGACGCCAGTAAAGACCGGCAATTGCAAATAATAATCAATCAATTTTTTTTGTGACGTCCGAACGGGGGGATCCGATTCAAATGGTTCTGTGATCTCCTAGTGAGGATAACGCGTCACAAAGCCGCGCTAAGCATCGAAGCGACTGTAACTCGAGAACTTTCCGTTCTCGTTCAGGCCACGATTGTCAAATTTGTCTCGATTCTACGCGTAAAATATATATTTATATATATTTTACAAATATATACATACACGTCTCTTTGTTTCCATTGAGAATTGAGAATAAACAAGCGAACCTTGTATATTTATTGAGGAAACAAGACAAAGATCGTATCATTGCTAGCAGAGTAAACGATAAAACAAGGAAAAAAAAAAATTCCACGACAGTTCTCTCCGGAGAACTGGCGTGTACTAAATAATGTAACACATATAAACGTTATCTTGTGTTAGACGAATATATATACATATATTGCCAGACGATCTCATTCATTTATAAGCGCGTAAAAAAAACGTGACATGATTTCGTAATCGCGCTCTTCAAGAAAAATATATATTGTGCAAACAGCGAGCGCGCACGGCGACAACGCGCGCGCGCGTGTGTTTTGCGCGTGCGTGTCACATATGTGTAAATTAACAATTGCAGCTAGCGCGGAGTCGCGGTTTGAAAGATAGAAGACCGCGAAAAGAATAGAGAGAGAAAAAAGTGCTTGCGCACGAGGTGCGAATCCACGAAAAATGTCGATCTATCGCTTCACCAAGGGGGGCAGGCTGTTCATGCAGGGCACGAGAGAGGACGACAGTCGTGATGGCGTTTCACCGAGCCCAACGGGATCGCGCACCGCCGACGATCTGCGAGCTATACACACGAAACGCCGATTGTCGACCGAGGTCTTAGGTAGCGAATCGAAATCGCGGGGAAATAAGAAGGGAAAGGATTCACGACACTGACGGTCGCCGACGACGAGAGAGCTTAGCTTTTTCAGGAGAGAGTAGTCCCGTTGTGTGTGTGTGTGTGTGTGGCAGTTGCACGAACTCAAAGGTGACGCTGAGTAAACGATTTTGCGAGCGGTAATTACCAATTAGCTAAAGAGCAATTGTCTGAGAAGAATCGTTTAATCTTCGGTTAATTGGTCTTTACGTAGACAATGAGAAATTCCAGGTTTTTTTTTTTACGCGTGTCAATTGTCTCTTCGTCCAATTATTTTTTTCTTTAGTTCGCGCGAATCTCATTTTAGTGTCTTTTCATGTATGAAATTGCGTCAATTCTCGCGCGTGAGAAAACAAATTTCAATTCAATATAAATAAAATAAAGATCACAGAGCGCGCGGTGATCTAATAAGAAAAACTCTCAGCGGCAGAGAGTTACGAGCTTCTGATTTTTAGACGTAACCGCAACAATGCCGTCGCATATCGCTAGCATCGATACATGAGAGTTGTGTGTGTGTGTGTGTATGTATATGTGGTGATTTCTCCGGTGTTTCTCTGATGCCGGTTGTCCTTTCTCAGCGAGGTATAATAAGCTGTTACGTCATCGTGACTTAAGAAGGTTCGCGTCCACCTTCGCGGGTAGCTCGACTAAATTCAATTGCAGAGTTTGAATCGTAATTGGAATAAGTCTATCTTCTTGTTATTACAATTAATAAGACGCGCGCGCGTTGGACGATGTTCGCAGAGTGAGATTTCTGAAAAAAAAAAAAAAAAAAAAAAAATTACGTAAGCGAGCACATTGTGCGCGCGAAATGTTCTCTCTCAAAAGTTGGCGTATCGTCGCGGTATCGAATCCTTTCTCAGGTTTAATATCCGCGCGAAGCTCGGGTTTCGATCTCTTCTCTCTCGATCGTTTGTTATCTCGCTCGCTCGCTCGCTCGCAGGTTCGTCGATCGAGTCGACGAAAACATCGAGACGCGGCGAGAACGGCACGAAACGCATCGTGACTCGTATTATTCGCAAGACGACTACTTTGACGCGCGGCGAGGAGCGGAGCGTCGCCGAGGATCTGACGAAACGCGCCCAGTCGAGATATCTGCAGGACGTCGGTAGTTCATCGACCACGACTATAACACGAACCAAAAGCCCGACGACTAAAGCAAAGACTGTGCGGGTAAGCGATTCTGCGCTCAGAGACTTGGTTCCCATTCTGAAGTTGTTTTATGAGCGAGTAATAAAAAAATAAAAAAAAATAATATATATGACTCGTATATTCCAGTCTCATTCGCTCATTCGTTTCTTGTTAAATAAATCAAAACAAACAGGAGAGCGCCAACATCCGCCAAGGAGAATGTTGAATAATTCAAAAGTGAATACCGTCCGCTTAATTAGCAAGAGTTTCGTGTTTGAAAATTAGCGCGATATTTTCATGAATATCTTAACAAGGGAGAATTATATTATTCGTGTAAAAGCGCGTCGTAAACGCGATCGTCTCAAACTTCCACGCTCTCCCAAAAGAAACCACTCTCTTTCTCTCTCTCTCTCTCTCTTTCTCTCGGTCTCTAGTAACGGATGCGTTGCCTTAATTAAGATTAGAAGACTTCCAACAGCGATACGTATGTTAGGTATACGTAAAACTCGCCGTAGTCCCGTAGTCTCTTCATTATCGTTCTACTTAATTCGTTATTTCGTTTCTGCGATTAATTCGCGAGAAAGATATTTTCTTTGTGATAAAAAAAAAAAAAAAGCATCATTATCACCCCAACTGGACGAACGACTTTTATTGAACCGAGCCGCTTTGAAGAACGAAAGTCGGTGCAACGCGCGCGAAAAGCGGTTTCTGCTTATTTGTCGATGTCCGCTTTCGATGTTACTCAACGAGCTTGACAGACAAGATTTGTTAAACGTTTTTAAGAACGAGCGCGCGTCAAAAACACACACCTTCGGTGTGTGACTATTGAGAAATTTATATCTCCCCCAATGAGCGCGCGATCGATCTCTCACTTGAGAGTGAAATTGCGTTTGAAATCAATTAAACGCGCGACGATCGAGAGTTATTGCGCGCCGACGTACATATTCGTCCGCAACCTGTTGCTGCGAAATCAGCAACGTGGTGGTCGGGGTGGTGCAGGTAGAAAACAGATGGCGAAAAACGGGAAGCGGGGGGAGGGGGCTCGTCCAAACAAACGCGCGCGCGAGAGAGAGAGAGAAAACATGCAATACTCTCAATATTATTAACGACCGGATTTTGTCAATGTCAATGGGCAACGCGGTCTCAAACGGTTGCGGTCTCAATTTATAAACGACTGTGCCAATGTCAAGTCTATTGCCAATGCTATTTGTCTTTATTATTTTACTACTTGAGCGAGTTTGGTAGGCAGCCAGACGAGATGAAGTGCTTTCATCGTTTGGGACGCGCGGGATCAAGTGGATAGGGCACTGAAAAAACGCGTGAGGAATTCGAAGTGAATCACTTCGTGCGTATTATAAATTTTATTTGCCCGATATATGAATATATGTACGTGCAAGAAGAAACTCTTCGATCTCGAAGAAAGGCAGAAGTCTTTTTTTTTTTTTTTTTTTTATTATTTGCGAATGTGTGAATTGTTCGCGCACAAAAATCGCGCGTGCGATTGTTCAACAATTTTTGTTAATTCCGAGAATTTTAATTGCGTATCTAAGAATATAACGCGCGATCAACGTTCTTTTCTCTCGGGACGGCGAAATGTCAGTGGTTCTTGAAAGGTTGCAACGTTCAGTTTCCATTTAATATTAAATTAATGAAGAAATTAGAACCTAGCGAAAGGTCGGAAATAGCGTTTCATGTAACGCGCGAGCGAATTCGCGTTTGACAATTTTTTTTTTTTTTTTTTTTTCAAATCGAAAACCGGTACAGCTTTCGAACGGCGGCGCAGCGCGTAAATGCGCCGCGCGAATCGCTCAAGTTTTACAAGAGCTGTATTTAAACTTTCGTTTCTCCGATTTTGTGTAAAACTTATTTATTACAGAAATCGTAAACTGTTCTCTTGTCGTTTGCCGACAAAAGAGACGCGATTGTCAAACGAAATACATCGAAGGGCGAACCAGAATATTGTTTATTTGTTTTTTTTTTTTTTTTTGTACAATTACACATCGCTCGATGAAAATTTCTCTCTTCAGTTCGTCAAGAAATAATGTTGTCTTTTGCAGATATCCGACATAGTGGTTGGCCAGGAACCGAACGTGACCGCACGCGAGGCTCTCCTGAGATGGGCCCGACGATCGACCGCCCGATATCCGGGCGTGCGAGTGACCGATTTCACCGGTTCTTGGCGTGACGGTCTGGCTTTCAGCGCTCTTCTTCACAGAAATCGACCGGATCTGGTCGACTGGAGAACAGCGCGCTCGAGCCAGCCACGAGAACGGCTCGATCGGGTGTTCTACGTCGCCGAGCGCGAATATGGCGTTACCAGGCTTCTCGATCCAGAAGGTAATGACCGATTATCGATCCTGATTCAAGTCTCGCCACCGATGTGCGCGAGCCCCAGAGTCTGTTTCCAAGAGTCTGTTTCGCGTGTCGATTCACGCGAGTATATTGGCCAACAAGTCCAACGTTTATTTTATCGATGAATTCGACGTGTGAAAAAGACGCGAACGAATTCCCTTGCGGCCGCTCGGTTTGTATTTTCAATCACTCTCGCGGTCTTTTTTTTTTTCCTCTCACAAAGAGACCTTTCACAATACTCAGCCGCCCTGCCCTGTCGTATCTTCTCTCGTTTTACGTGTGTGCCTGCGTGGAAGTGTTCCCGCGGGCCACTAGCGCGCGGATACGTGGTGCACGTTCTTTCTGGTCACGGTACCTGACCAGAATCGCTTCCGCTCTCAGTTCGTGCACCGTAACGTCGCGCCATCGGCGCAATCCTCGTAATTATGCTTTCTATACTTGGCTTTCGCAGGTAGTTCGACATCGCGAGAAAGAGCGGCAAGACACACAGTGTCCACGAGGATTAGGCGTAACTCGATATGACTCGATAACTCGGATTTGACAAGATAGTTTTTCTTTTTTCTTTTTTTTTTTTTCAATGAGCACAGACGAGAGAGATCTGGTTAATTCGATAGAGTCGACGAGATATAAGATATCGGTTGGAAGCGACAAATCCGTAATTTAATTAAATTACGATCGGGGCACGAGAAAGTGTGTTAATCAATAAAAGTGTGATCCCGTTGAATTTGTTTTTCCATGCTGTGTGTTCCACTTCCACACATTTACTCACGCAAAGATTCTCTCATTCTCCGCGCAGATGTTGACACTCCCGAACCGGATGAGAAGTCCTTGATAACGTACATCTCTTCGCTCTACGATGTGTTCCCGGAGCCGCCGGCCATTCACCCTCTCTACGACGCCGAGGCGCAAAGACGATCCGCAGAATATCGCGAGCTCGCGAGCTCGCTTCACTTGTGGATCCGGGAAAAGATGGCCCTCATGCAAGAAAGATCCTTCCCACCTACGTTGATCGAGATGAAGAAACTGGCGGCGGACAGCACCAAATTCAAAAACGAGGAAGTGCCGCCGCGCTACAGGGACAAGCAGAGATTGACGTATATTTTCCGAGACTTGCAAAAGTATTTCGAAGCCGTGGGTGAAGTGGACATGGAACCGGAATTGCACATTGACGTTATCGACAAGAATTGGAATCGCCTGATGATGTTGCATCAGGAACGCGAGCAGGCGATCATAGACGAGATTAAACGGTAGGTTTTGTTGAAAAAAAAGTAATGTAAAAAAAAAAAAAAAAAAAAACTAAGCGCGCATATGTTTGCGCATAACGTACACGCGTGTGTGTTGACAGACTTGAACGCCTGCAACGACTTGCCGAGAAAGTTCATCGCGAGATGAAAACGACCGACAACAGACTGGATGAGCTCGAGAGACGAGTTGAAGACGAGGCTCGTAGACTCGATCGTATTCATCCCTTGGAAGCGAAACACGCGGTAGATCTACTGGAACAGGATATACGCAGCACGGAAACACAAATACAGAACATATTCACCGACGTGCACACCCTCACCGAGGGTAGATACAGTCAAGCACCGGAACTTCACAAGAGGTAAAAGAAAAAAAAACATGTCGAAGTTTATTTTTCCAGTCATGATGAAACGAAAGAATGTTTTTTCTTTCACGTTGTGCGATGATGTGTCGGTATGCAATTAAACATCCGCGTGTAACATGCGAGCTTGATGCTTTTATGTTCTCGACCATTTAATTACATTGTTTCTACTCTCGTGATCTTCGCTAATGAGCGAACTATATTAGCGCGCTTTCCACTGCAGCACGCGGCAGCTTTCGAAAATCGAGTTGCGCGTGTTCAGCGACTTTCCACCAAATGTCACGTAACGTGTGTTCAAATGCCTGCCAAAATTATTATAGTTTGAAACCTAGTTCGTGTTTACATATATTTTTGTTTTAAATATAAATAAAAATTTATTTACGTATTTAATATATTTTGTTGTGTGTATAAATTTTGTAGAGTGCAGAAACTGCATCAAAGATGGGTCGTGCTACGATCCCTTCTGCACAGACGTTTGATACAACCGCTCTCGGCGGTTTCTTTCCCGATGGAAGAGCGTGTTGTCACGAAACACCGAACCACCATTCATGAAACACGATTGGTCGATACCAATCCTCACTTCCGAGCGTTGCACGATTGTATCGATTGGTGCAAGAGCAAATTGAAGCATCTGCAAGAAGCGGATTACGGATCGGACTTGCCTAGTGTGCAAAATGAATTGGATGTGCATCAGAGAGAGCACAAAAACATTGATCAATTCCAGGCCAAGGTTGACAAGTGCGTACAGGCGAAGAACAATTTTCACGGCGAAGAACTTACGTTGTACAGTCAGCATCTCAGTACTCTGCAGAAACTCTATGCCGAGCTTCTTGCCGTATCGAATAAGAGACTGTCCGATTTGGACACTCTTCATGATTTCATACAATCGGCGACCGGCGAACTGGTTTGGTTGAATGCCAAGGAAGAAACCGAAGTCACGCGCGATTGGAGCGACAAAAATCTCAATGTACAGAGCATCGAACAATATTACGAGGTAAGATATTAATCCGTCTCTTTTGCGAGAGATGAGAGAATTGATTTGATTTTGCGATGATGCGTCATCAGCAGTTAACACGTGTCAAGTAGTACGTGTACTTGGTTGAATTAATTTACTAAATCGGAAACTTTCTTCTTTCTAAAGCAAACGTATGGATCTGGCATAGAGGTAAAATGAGAAAAAACTAATTTTAATTTTTTATCATTTCTTTAATTTTTAATTATATATAGTTTTTCTCTTCACACATATTTTATACGCACTTCTACTTTTTCTAGATAAAAGTTCTAAATGCGAGTATTTAATTTTATATAATTAAGACGTTAGAGAGACGTTTTTATTTGCAGTCATTGATGAGCGACTTGGAAAAGCGCGAGATACAATTCTCGGCCGTGCAAGATCGCGGCGAAGCATTGATTCTTCAGCATCATCCCGCGGCTAAAACCATCGAAGCCTACATGTCCGCGATGCAAAGCCAATGGGCCTGGCTGCTGCAACTCACTCTCTGTCTCGAGGTACATCTGAAACACGCCGCACAAAATCAACAATTCTTCAAAGACATTCAACAGGCGGAACAGTGGATTTCCAAACGTGACGAAACGTTGAATACCGTTTACTCTCAATCTGATTTCTCGTTGGATGAGGGAGAACGGCTCTTGAAAGGCATGCAAGAGCTACGCGAGGAGTTGAACAATTACGGCGATCACATACAGAGAATCGTGGAAAGAGCAAAAGACATCGTTCCCATGAAACAGCGCAAGCAACCTGTTATGCGACCGCTACAGGTCACTTGTATCTGTACCTACAAACAAGTCAATGTAAGTATCACATATATGTGTGTGTAAACAAACAAATGGAACGCATTTACGTTTACATGCTTGTAATGTTTTTAAAGATGTCAATCGAGAAAGGGGAGCAGTGCACGTTATATGATAATTCTGGCAGAGTTAAGTGGCGCGTGAAAAATACACAGGGCGTGGAATCTCCAGTGCCGGGTGTCTGCTTCGCGTTGCAACCACCTGACAAGGAAGCGCTAGATGCTGCGGAAAGATTGAGACGACAATACGACCGAAGCGTTGCTCTCTGGCAACGAAAACAATTGAGACTAAGACAGAACATGATATTCGCGACTATCAAGGTAGTCAAAGGTTGGGACTTGCCACAGTTTCTGGCGATGGGTCAGGATCAACGTACTGCCATCAGGAAAGCACTGAACGAAGATGCGGATAAACTGCTTTCCGAAGGAGATCCGGCTGATCCGCAACTGAGAAGATTGAAGCGAGAAATGGCGGATGTCAATCGACTGTTCGATGAATTTGAAAAACGCGCCAGAGCCGAAGAAGAATCGAAGAACGCCGGTCGCATTTTCAACGATCAGGCTTCCTCGCTTCAACAAGCTCTTGACGAAGCCGAGAGAGTACTAAACGCGCGCATAGCTTCGCCTTTGCCTCGAGATCTCGATAGTTTGGAACATTTGGTTCTTCAGCACAAAGACTTCGAACAGAATCTGCAACGCTTGGCGCCGGACGTGGAACAGATGCAGCAAACGTTCCGCGGAATTACTTTGAAGACTCCAGCAATGAGAAACAAACTCGACAATATCACGACCAAGTGGAATAATTTGTGGAATCTGAGTAGTCTGTACATCGAGCGTTTGAAGTGTGTCGAAATTGTATTGAACAGTCTCGAGGAAAACACGACCGTTATCTCCGAGTTCGAAATTAAATTGGCCTCTTTCGGCGAACTTCCATCGGACGTGAAGGGCCTGCAGACCGTGTTGGAGGATCTGATGGTTTTGCAAAACGCTATTACACAACAGCAAATATCGGTAGATCAGCTGAACGAGGACGCGCATAACGCTAGGCGTCTCGTAGAGAAATCAAGACCGAATCATCGCGGTCCGCACGGCGATATGGACAGATTGGACGCTGAAGTCAACAAACTGAACGCGCGTTGGACGAACGTGTGCGGACAACTGGTGGATAGAATGCGCAGTGCGGAGACGGCTTACGGATTGGCACAACAGTATCAAACCTCGTATCAGAACGAAGTCGACTTTGTTGACGAATCCTACGGAAAACTGGAGCTGGAGAATACGAAGGTAATGGAAAAAAAAAACAAGAGGTAACTTGTACCCAAGGTAACTTTGTTTTGATTAGTCGCGTCATCTCATAAGTTCTGTTTGCAGAATCTGCTGAGCAAAGTGTTGGATCGCGCGCCGGCGATCGAGGCGGTGAATCTCACAGGCGGCAGACTGATTCGCGAAGGAAAGGTGAGAAACAAGTGGATTGTGATGTTACAATTCGGTGCTAGTAAGCCTATAGGTAGCCTTAGCTTACGGTGTGAATGCTTGCATGAATGGATATATCTGCGTGTGTCTTACATACAGGTCTCATCACTATTTTTTATATTTACGCGCCCTCGAGATCTGTTACGATGTGCGCGACGAAAATCTTTTATCATTTAGCGTTTGTCGGAGCCGCTGATTTTTTTTTTTTTTATAGCCACCGGTGGATATCCGAGCGAGCAGTTACAAGACGCACTGAGACGCGTTACACATCTGCTGTATGTCTATGTATATATATATATATATAAATTTGAAAAGTTCCTTTACAGTTTCAAATCTGCTGCTGTTTTTTCCGACGGCGACGTCACGTCACAAGTTTTCTACCTCTGCGGTAGAATTTTCTATTTGTGTCCGGGCTCCGTGCCATTAAACGGCACAAATCGTCTTAACTGTCATTCATTAAGTAAATATACTTACTTACGTAACCACACACACACAAAAACACATACACGCATACGGGACGATACGATCTAAAAAAGAGCCGCGCATTTGTAATATCGCTCTGTGTTACTTTCTCTCCTTTTTAACCCTAATGGCAATCTCGTTAACTCAATTACATCAGAGAAGCACGGTTGAATGAGCTGCACGACCTCGTTTTAGCGGCGATTTAGTGGCGAATCTTATAAAAGTTCTAGATTACGCATATCGCTCGCTTAGATGCTTGACAGTAAAAAGAAACAACCAAACAAAAAAAAAAAAAAAAAAACAAAAAAAAAACGAAAATGATTGATAACTTCCTCGATCTCTGGATTCGTACGTAGATAACCCAGTGAGGTATATAGCATGCGCAGCGACGAGGGGCTCGTGACTCATATTTTAAATAACATACAAAGGAAAGAGTTTGGTGTGCGAGGACGCACAAATGCGCGTGTCGCACACGCTTGTGATTACATTTCGGCACTTTGGAACTAAGACAAGCAAAATCCTCCGCTTCGTTTTACACGCCAATAATAAAATTACAATGCGGCGCAATTAAATTTGTAATCGCCGCTCGCGCGGCAACGGGGGAGTAGCGGTCCCGAAATTTATTTTCCAAACACATTGAGATTAACATGGTGTTACATCCCGAGTAACTGGCAGCTACCATTTTATTAATTAATACATTTGTCTCTATTCACTTATGAAAAGTACCACATTGGGTTGTCGAAGTCACAGCGAGAGGTCGGTCTCGCGCGACGAAACGCCGCGTTTGTTTTTCAAACGCGCCTCGTCCTTTTTTTTTTTTGCTGTCGCTTTCGGAGGCTAACGGTAATTGACGCGCGCTCTCCGATCTAATTGCACTAACCATAACGGACTAACCGGAAACCCTTAGATCTACGGACAAAGGCTCCGAGCGTTCAAAGAACAGTTGGAAGATTTCTGCCCGTCGCTGGACGCGTCGGTGAAGAGGCCGCGACGAGATTCCGTTAATACGGTCGATAATGTTGCGCGCGATCTAGATACGCTGAACCGAAGATACACGACCCTGGTGAACCTACTTCAGGAACGAGTCAGGCAGCTGGCGCTATTACATCCCGAGGACACTTCCTTACAGGTGAGCATATTTATTATTTTTTCTCGTCACGGTCGCGGAGGCGTCTGCGACGCTTCCGACAAGTAGGTTACACAACGTGGCGTTTTTTTTTGTTCTTTTAATGGCCTTGGATATATACAGGAAGCAATAGATCACGCTCTCAGGGACTAGACCTGGACTGCTATCTATTTATCGCAAGATACAGTGCGACGAACAATAAATTGTCGTCCGAGTTGTACGGCCCGAAAACGGACATTCCACGTGTCGCACAATTTAGGCCTAAGTGTGTTTCTTCTAACATTTTATTTGAGAGTCGATTATAGTGAGAGTTTAGACGGACCGAGGCTCTGTGCCGGGTATTTTAGATATTTTAGGTTTAACCTTTTAAGCGCGGCGTGTCGAAACACGAACGGAATTAATTTACCGAGAACCCGAATCTCGACGAAGGTCAGCAATTTGCATTGCTGATGGCAGATGGGAACGATGGTTGAGGAACTCGAAACGAAGTGGTGGATCCGCTAGTTAGACCTCGATCGTACAACACTTCGACAACATTCGGGAACTAACGAATTATTCCTAATCACGCGATGACGATTTGCGAAGGTGATTTAAAACGATCGCGCGAAGTTACGCGAAACTATTCGGAGATCGAGCGTGAAGAGATAATTATTAATTGTCGCGATCGTAACACGGTAATAACAAACAGGTATAATATTTATTTCTTCTGCGAAAGAAATTTGCAATTTAAATCAAATTAGTTTGTCACAAATATGAGAATGCGAAGAGACGCGTAGTTTCTGATTCAGTTCTGTTGAAAAAAAATTTGTTTTCGCGACACGATCGGATAGTAAAGAAAAATGCTCGTGTCATTTTGTAATATCGGAGAACGACGCGAAATAACGTGATCGCGAAGACTTTTTTTTTTTCGCAACGCAATATAATGACACGAGTTCTTCTCGAATTAATGACTTTAGATGAGACAGGCGGAACCGCGCGCGCTCTTGATGATGGAAACCCGTATTATGCCCCCGCATCTCTCCCACGGACTTAATTATATTCCGAGTGACGACGACAGCAGAAATAGCGACTATTTTTCCCGATGTTTTATTACGCGCCAAACCTTGACGGAATTGCATCGGAAAGAACGTTCGAAAGGAGATTGGCTTTTTTTTTGTTTTTTGTTTTTTTTTTTAAATTCGCGATTGTGCTCGCGTTTGCTCACGTTTCAATCGCGTGTGTTATCGCGGACACGTATCGTCACATCTCTCAAGGTCTATCTTCTCGTCGTGACGGAACGGAATAGCACTTGTGACACGCGACCGACTTTCACTCGATTAGCAGCGACGGCTTTTTTGTCTTTCCCGCCGCTCGTGTGCCGGTCTCGCGCCGGGATCGATAGGGCCGGCCGATGTGCCCGGCGCAGAGACAAAACGAGAAAGGCAGTGGCGCGTTTACATTTGTTCAGGCCCTCACGGAATTTATTATACATTGTACAATTGCGCGCGTATTAAGATATTAATTAAAAACAAAAATAAAAATAAATACACGTCAGGTTGGGCGTTTGTTGTACACGTCGCGCATTTTGCTGCGCTTTCAAAATTCCGAAAATTTATTTTAACATCTGCTCTCACAATGTGTTAAACTGACTCATACTTGTCTGATTGTAATTTTTTTCTTTCGGAATACGTGACCGAATGCTTAAATAAAACCGCGCTCACGTCAGATTGCAAAAATGCTATAAAACCGTGAGAGAAATACGTTTCCTCTCGAAAATTTATAAAAGACGACGATTGCGTAAGTCTCTTAATGAATCGCCCATTAAGTCGACCAAGGTCGAGTTCGGCGGTGAACGCGTAATTTGCCAAAATTCTGAATGTTAGTACCCTGAACGCACCCACGCCTAAACGCGCCACTGAGGACGACGCGCGGTGATGCGTCGC